AAAATCTATATTGTTCACTCTTCATTTCAAGATGTTCATAATTCACCTTTAGTAGTAAACTTAATTAAAATAATTCATTCAATAATATTTTACTAATGTGAATGGAAGTATGAGTAATTTACTTTGGTCAACTAGATGAACATTTAAAAACCACCATGTTCTCAAATAAACCTGGATGTAAAACCCTCATTTAAAAATAAGATTGCTGTCACTCGAAAATCAGTCACCAAGTATCTTAACACATGTGTTATGGTCTCTTAGGTGGTTCTTATTTATATTAGTGGGTTGGCATTCCAGATGAACAATGTGGTTTAGTTGTGACTTCTCCAATGAAGTGGTCCTACAAGAAATCTAGAAGTAGAGTCCATCACAATAGGTATGGGTACCTATATGTACCCTACTTTTAACTGGGTTATGAATTCCTCAATGCATCAGGCTGTCTTCTTTATCTTTTTGCCTTGACACCTGGGACAGGTGGAACATTGACAGTGATGACATTGATGATGTCAATGTCAATAGTCATGGTGGCAGTGGCAGTGGTGGTGGTAATGGTGATAATAATTACTGAACTAAATGGAGGGGCTAAAGACTGTATTAGAAGTAGGGCCTCCCTGGTGGCGCAGCGGTTGAGCGCCGGGTTGCGAAGCTGCCAGCAGCCTCTGCAGCACCGGTTCAATCCCTGGCTGCTCCCCGGCCACCGGAGGAGGGTCCTACATGGCACGCAGACCTCTCCTGCTGCCCGCTGCTCCAATCTTTAAGACTGTATTAGAAGTAGACACTGCAATATTTTCCCTTTGGCCCTGAAATTTATTAACATTGTGGGTGATTGTGAGCAGTTACCTATTCATTTTTTTAAAACAATCTTTTTTGTTAAAAAAAAGATTTATTTATTCATACAAGAGCTGGGGTACAGGCCAGAGATGCAGAGGGGTGAGAGGATTCACCAGAGACAAAGTGGGGAACAGAACCAGCAGACTGATTGAAATACACTGCTGAGGGGAGCAGCGGGTGAGACAAGAGAGGTCTGCCGCACCATGTGGGTTTCTCCCTGGCTGGCTGGGGATCAAACTCATGCTGCAGAGGCTGCAGATTGCTTCGTAGTATGGTGCTTAAGCCCTTGCACCACCAGGGAGGCCTCAGTTACCTATTCTTATTACCAGTGTTTAACTATCTTTGGTATTGATACGTCATCACCTTCAATCTTTCTCTCCTGTGTTAAGAGAAATCACAAATACTTAAGACACATTTTATCAAAAGTAAAACATGAAGGAAACAGACTATCAATTGTAGAAGCCTAGGAAAGGAACAACTAGACCAAAATACTAAATTTATTACCACAGGCTGCCATGCATACCCAGATATTTTACTTATGTTTTCCAGTCTCATAACCCATCAAAAATGATAACATTACATATAGAAAAAGGATATTAAATTTAATTATGAATGAGAGAACTGAGGCTAAAAAGGGAGATAAGAAACTTTTCTAAATTTTCCCAGTTAGCAAGTCATACAAATGAAGAAATTTCAATTCTAACCCTAAAACTCACATACTTTCTTCCACAGTCTAGCAGGAATAAGTGTCATTAATCATACAATCTTACAAATACTTAATTAAAAATGTGATAAATTCTGTTGCATATGTATATATGTTATTATCTTCATCTGAAGGATGAACATGCATTTATTTAGAAAAAGAGAGGAAGGAATTCAAAAGAGTTACATTTCATCCTACAAAGAATATCACATTTTGTCCTTTGAGAGTGTGTGAAGACAATGGAAAGTGACATTTTCCACCATAGAAGTCCCTTGTGGGGTAGTCCCTTGTGGGTTTTAACAGTTGGGACAGTGGGAGCATAATAGCCAGAAACATTGTTCTTAACTTCATGAAGCCTTGAGTAAGAATTAATATGCTTGGGCCTCCCCTGGTGGCGCAGGCGGTTGAGCGCCTCTGCCGGTTCATTCCCTGCCGGTTCAATCCCATCCGGTTCAATCCCGGCCGGCCAGAGAGGGTCCCACATGGCGTGGCAGACCTCTCCTGTCTCACCCGCTGCTCCCCTCAGCAGTGTATTTCATCAGTCTGCCTGTTCTGTTCCCCACTCTGTCTCTAGTGAATCCTCTCACCCTCCTGTGCATCTGGCCTGTACCCTGGTTCTTGTATAAAATAAATAAATAAATCTTTTTTTAAAAAAAAGGAATTAATATGCTTGAGTTACATATACATAGAACTAGTCAACAATTTGCCATGTAAGTTCCACTTAATAGACAATGTTTGACCTCAGAGGGCAGCTCTCCTTATCAGTTCTGTTTGTGCTTTGCTACCAAACCAATTTTGTAACTTTCTAGAGATAATATTTCCCATTTATTAGCAGGCACTCTTTCTCATAAACACCTCATTCTTTTTGACTATGAGTGGAATAATACTATTATTCACAGGACATTATTTAGGATTTTAACATTTCTCAGCTCCTGATAATTTGAATATTTGGACTATATATTTTTTAACAGAGTAGAAAGTTCAACCTATAGTAAATATTGGTTATCAGTGTCTAACTATGGGGAGGGGGGGAAGACAGGAAGATACCATAGAGTTATGGTAAGCTTTTCACTAGCACAAATGTCACAAACTCAGATGTGGATGGTAACCAGGAAAATAATTTAACAGCAAAAAATGAGCCTAGTTGAGACTGGTAATAAGAGTTAGTGTCTTATATAATGGGGTAGCTAGGTCTCAGATCCAATCAAATTCTATGCAGAAGTTTGGTTCAGTGCCACCAGATCCCCAGGTTTTTTGTTTGTGTGTTTGAGAAACCAGCAACCCAGATTCTTTTTTTTGTTGTTTTAAAATTTTATTTATTTATTTATTTGTTTATACAAGCATTGGGTACAGTCAGAAGCGTGGGAGGGTGAGAGAATTCACCAGAGCCAGAGCGGGGAACAGAACAGGCAGACTGTCAAAGTACACTGCTGAGGGGAAGAGTGGGAGCAGCAGGAGAGGTCTGTCGTGCCTTGTGGGACCCTCTCAGCGGCCGGGGATCGAACTGGCACTTCAGAGGCTGTGGGCAGCTTCGCAGCCCAGTGCTCAACTGCTCCACCACCAGGGGAGGCCCCAACCCAGATTCTTATATAATATCTCTACATTGTTAATGTCAGTACTTAATTAGTTTTAATACCATTGCAACCTTAAAATATACCCACAAGCCAAGACTTGATAGCCTTGGTTCTACAGGACTTCATTTTTTAAAAATTTTTTTTAAAGATTTATTTATTTATTTATTTATTTATTTATTTATGCATACAAGAACTGGAGTACAGGCCAGAGGTGTGTGTGGGGGTGTGTGTGTGAGAGGATTCACCAGAGACAGAGTAGGGAACAGAACAGGCGGATTGACTGAAATACACTGCTGAGGGGAGCAGCAGGTGAGTCAGGAGAGGTCTGCTGTGCCATGTGGGTAGCTCTCTGGCCGGGAATAGAACTCATGCTGCAGTAGCTGTGGACAGCTTCATAGGTTGCGTCTTAACCCCTTGCACCACCAGGGAGGCCCCTCTACACGACTTTACATCTTAAGAGTTCAGTAAGCATTCATTGAGCACTTTCTCCATGCTAATACAAAGATACTAAGACAAATACTCTTCACACCTGTATTTGAGAAGCTCACACCCTGGTCACAGAAATGAGCAAGACACAATTATTATCTTATGAGAGAAACTGAAATTAATGATATAATATTTATTTATTAATTGTGATAAGTTCTATGAAAGAAAAAATTACATAGCAAAGTCACAGGTCAAGGAATGAGTGAGCTTATATTTAAAGTTGACATTTGAAGGATGAGTACACATTTATCAAAAGGAAGAAAGGAAGAAGAGTACTCTAGATCAAGGGTATAGTATCAACAAAGATCCTGAGGTAGGATGGAATTTGGAGTATCTGGGGAACCAAAGAGAATACTAGTGACTGAGAATTAGTGAACAAGGAAAGGAATTACATATAATAGAAATGGAGAAAGAAGCAGGAGTAGGTCATACATGAACTTGTGTAGCCCAAAGAGCAATCCCAGCATGGGCTGGTAATAATGAAACTTTCACCTAACTTAAGGAGGAAAGCCTCCAACAGAGGAAGCTGCCCATGCCACTTGGCTATCTGTGACATTGAGTTTCCCTTTCCTGACCTCGCTTGCTCCATCTTTAGGCACATCTTCCTTTGCTGTTGAAAATCCTACCAAACCCTCTGTACTTCTCTTCATCCATAACAATCTCTTCAATATGAAAGACTGATTTCTACACCACACCTATCCCAACAGAAAGGAAAGTCAATTACATGTGACAGTGTTAATGGTGGGTCTTTGGGAACAAAAAGCACAGATTTAAGGCATCTAAACTTCAGAGGATAGTCACATTTCACACTCACAAGGACATTTAAACTGACCTATACTTTAAGAGCTATACTGTAAGAGTCTGTTGAGATAATCAGATGGTTGAGAGGTGTTAAGGCAATAAAAAATCACTGAGGGTGGCAGTAGCTGGAAAGATTACATAAAACACAAAGCAAAACAAAATATAAGCAACTCTAAGTGTACTTATGTCCCAGGCTAATATACAGTTAAATATAAGATGGCACCATAAAGAAACAAGATCCAGTCTGAGCTGCTTTACTGATCATGGAGATTTAACTCTCTGATTATGTTTAAATAATAATTATGTAGCTACCCTGGAAAAATAACTTGTTAAATCTAAGATTACTAGTAACATTTCTTATTCACTTATTCATTTCTCATTCACTGACGTGAATAAGATATTATTATATACCATCATATAATAAAAGTCTTTATAATTACATAGACATAGAAGTGGGTATATATGAATCTTCACAAATAATAAAATACATATATTCCGTGTACTACAGAAAGTCTTATACATCTTATATCTCCCCAATTTGTGAGTGATAAAAGTAGCAGTGCTCAGAAAGTGTCCAGATATTTTCAGGGCTTTTCTTTCTGCAGGTGCTTCTTACCTTGACCACACATTTCCGGTGGAGAAAATGGATGATGCTATAGCTCCAGGCCAAGAATATATCTATGAATGGATTATCAGTGAGGACAGTGGGCCCACACAAGATGACCCTCCCTGCCTCACACACATCTATTACTCCCATGAAAATCTGATACAGGACTTCAATTCTGGGCTGATTGGACCTCTGCTTATTTGTAAAAAAGGTAAAAAAAAAAAATCAACAATAATAATAAAGATGCCATAGTGGTAAGTAGTATTATAATGGAATGATGCTGAGAAGAATCTTGGTACCTTTCATAAAATCAAGCACAGAGAGACCAGGTGGAAACCAGATTATTGTGAAAGTGTTAATGATGGGTCTTTGGGTGCATAAAGCACAAATTTAAGACTTTTTAAAGGTTTATAATCTTCCCCTGTTTCTTCTAATCCCGCCTTCATCTCTGTCCTGGTAATATCTACCAAGTAAATACCAACTTGAAAGTATGCTCTGAAGCTATTCTCATAAGATCTTAATAGTTATCTCAGGACCAAGCCTTATTGAAAGTATACAGCAGTCTGTACTCTGCTGAGAGTATTGGAAAAGAACATAGATGAGATTTGAGTTGTTAATTTGGTCTACAAATACACAAAATTCCAACTTTCTTTTTTTTTTTTAAGATTTATTTATTTTTATACAAGAACTGGGGTACAGGCCAGAGGTGCAGGAGGGTGAGAGGATTCACCAGAGACAGAGTGGGGAGCATCACAGGCAGATGGACTGAAATACTGAGGGGAGCACTGGGCGAGACAGGAGAGGTCTGCCGTGCCATGTGGGATCCTCGCCAGTGGGCCAGGAACGAACTGGCGCTGCAAAGGCTGTGGACAGCTTCACAGCACTGCGTTCAATCCATTGCGCCACTGGGGAGGCCCCAACTTTGTTTCTTATAAACAAGTTGAACACTTTGGTTGATTGGTTTCAAATATACTAAGTTGACTTTTTAAGAAATTTTATTGTCTGGACTTCTTGTCCACAAGCTTGAACTTTAATTTTATCCCAAAAGAATTTAGTCCATCTTTCATCAAAAAAACAACCAACTAAAAATGAACAGTATTATGGGAAGTAACATAATGGGCTTACCATCTGTCTCTGCATACACACATATCATATCTATTTATATTCCTAATTCATTTATTCATGCACTACCTAGTATACAGAAGATATTACAATGGCACTGACAAACATTCAAGCTTATTAAATGCTTCTTTGGTTTTATAATGAGCTACATTTTTCATCACTGACCCTCTGAACCAATTCTCTAGTGCCCCACTACATATACAAATGGCATGGCCGTATCAAATTTGGAGTGTGATGTTTTTACCAAACAAGCTAAGATACTTTTGTATTGTTATATTGACCCTGGAGGAAATTGATACTTTCACTAAACCCTTGAGAGTCACCAGACGCTTTTTTATCTATGCCTGATTAAATTTACCTGTAAAGCCCATTCCGCAAGACTATGAAGTTCCAGAGAAAAACACTTAATGTGACACTTAATTCTAAAAGCCCTCCATCATTATTAGTTAATAAAATGCTGTTCTTAAAAAATCCATCTGCCTGTTCTGTTCCCCGCTCTGTCTCTAGTGAATCCTCTCACCCTCCCGCGCAACTGACCTGTACCCCGGCTCTTGTATAAATAAAATAAATCTTAAAAAATATAAGAACTTCTTAAAATTGCTATTATGAATTATGATTAGTTACTTACCTACCAGTCTTTGCTTTCCAGGAATAGCATTTGAGAGCCTTCTATCTGTGATACTGCTGGAATGTATGTCTTTTCTTAAATAGGCACCCTCACTGAGGATGGGATTCAGAAGATGTACGACAAGCAACATGTGTTGATGTTTGCTGTGTTTGATGAAAGCAAGAGTTGGAGCCAGTCACCATTCCTAATGTACACAGTCAATGGCTATGTGAATGGAACCATGCCAGGTAACATTTGAGCTGTGCGCTATCCAACAATGGAATCATCTGTAACTTAGTCCTATTGTTTTCTGTAGGGCTCTAGGGAAGCTATCCATATTCTCTATATTTCAACTCTTAATCAAAAAGTTAATCTAGTTCAGTGGTTATCAAGAGTTTATCATTTTTCTTTTAATCAGCAAGTACCACAGATGCATTGAAAGTTACCCAAGAGGAATGTGTAGAATTATTAGATTTAGTGCTGAGCAGATTTCACTTTAACCTACATCTCCAGGAAGACCTCTGGGATATCAGCTCATTTCCTTCATTGAATCTGTGATTCCTACTATGTGGTAACCATGTCTTTTTCCACAAAGGAAACCTCACAGGACAGAAGTTCAAGTTCAATTCCTACCAGGAAGGGTCAGCCAAAAAATTGTGATTTAAAAAAAAACAAAACAGTGAAGATGAGTAGGAAATTAGGGGAAATACCAATATACAATAATGCTGCTAGCATTTCAAATGGTGATTAATTAGTAATATTCAAAGGCATGTAAAATGTTTTTTCTTTCCATTTTTCTGCAGATATTGTGATAAAAGCAAAATATCAGCAACTGTTAGGGAGAAAAAAATAACTCCACCTAAATTACTTTAACTTCTCTCTGGTATAAAGCACTTAGAACCAAAGATCCTGAGGGAAAAGAGAACACTAAAATTAAACTTTATTAAATTAAGCATACTTTAAAATGTGAAGTTTTCCAGAGACCATTATCTATATCTTAAAATCACAAATGGCTTTAATTACTAGAAACAAAAATTGTCATGATTGAGGTCTAAATTTTTATTTTAAATTGTATTGTATTTCATTTGAGTCCATCTCCCACTTGGGTTATTACAAACAGACTCAGATGACTCTGAGTTTTGGTTCAGAATTCTAAAACCAGGAGCTTGAAAGCTTGGGCCTTAGTTAACTGACCTCAATCTTAAAAGACTTGAGTTCAAACCTGTTCACTTCTCTACCTTAGTGTAGTCCTTAAGCTACAAGTTGTCTCAAAGTATTTACTTTCCAAAAATGGCTTAGCCATTTGTACAGAGGGTATTTAAGAATTTTTTAATATATAAAATAGCATGTTTAGTACTATGAGCCTTAGAAAGAAGAGGTCAAAAAAGAAATTGTAGCTGAGTCCTGGCAAAGTGAATAATGGTATATATATAGAAGACAAAAAAAAACAAAAAAACAAAAAAACATATGCACAAAAATAAAAAGGAGTAACTTGACCAGGAATAGAGTTTATAAATTTATTGTTGAAAAAGTATAGTTTGGATTAAGAGGGTCAGTTTAGGAAATTATCATTTGTAGAAACTAAAGAAAAGATATTGTTTGCTAAACTGCTTTATGGAGCAATGTAAACTGAATATATATGATAAATGCTAATACATATTATGAAATGCTCTGTTCAGTATGAGCATTTCTTACAAACTAGCATTATCTCAGTCACTGTGGGATTAAAGAAGGAACAAAACTCAGCTTTTGTACTCAGTTCTTATTATTCCATCCATGAGATGCTCACAGTGGAATGAAGACTTGTCCATTGCATTTTAAGTAGACCCTGTAGCCTATGAAGTAATTCATTGCTTTGTCATTAAGACAATCAATAAGTGGATGGATAAAGATAAAATATAAAATCCTTCAATCATCACAACTTCCCTTTCAGCAGAGATTTGACTTCTAACTAGCACAGAGAGTCCCTTCAGCTCAACCCTGTTGGAGACTCTAGAGATCCCTCCCACTAAGCCCAGATGGGTTCCAGAGTGATCAGCCATTACGGCTTGCCCAGAATTTTGCCAGGTCTAGCATGGAAAGTCCTGAATCCTGGGAAACCCTTCTGTCCTGGGTAAAATAGGATGGGTTGTCACTGACTCTGACTAGGGTCTCTCCTTGGTCTAGTACCTTAGTGATCCCTGTGTTTAAACTAAAACACCCCATCTCTGGGGTTTAGCCTTTAATGCCACTTATTATAAATTGTGACTAATTTTCCCATCATCTAGATGTCTGCTTTTCCAGGGCAGGAACCTCAGTGGAGTGTCTAAACCCCTCAAACTTGCAACTATTCCTCATGCATAGCAGGTACTTGTTCTGTATCTGGTGAGTGAATTATTTTTAGAGTGCTAGACTGACTGTTTTGCCCCTATTTCTCTTTTTTCTCTCAGATATAACAGTTTGTGCCTATGACCATGTTAGCTGGCATCTGATTGGAATGAGCTCTGCGCCAGAACTCTTCTCCATTCATTTCAGTGGGCAGGTCCTGGAGCAGAACCATCATAAGATCTCAGCCATCACCCTTGTCAGTGCTACATCCACTACTGCAAACATGACTATGAGCCCAGAGGGAAAGTGGATCATATCTTCTCTTATCCCAAAACATTTTCAAGGCAAGAAACAGTCTTGATTATTAATGTAGAATTCTGTCTTATCAGGCACCAACTTCCTACCTTTACCCTTTTCTAGCTACCCACACACACCAAACTGGCATGCCTTGGGCACTGAAAACAGAATTTAGATACTGTGCTTTTTAGACGTATAACATATTAGCTGGGGATGGAGGAAGCAGAGGAATTAACAAAGATTGTTTAAAGTGAAGAAAAAGCTTAAGAGACTCTACTTCCTCAAAAGGAGAAAGGAGGAAGGAAACGTGGAGATGCATCATAGAGATATTCTTTCTTGGAGTATTTTATTTAATATGCAACTAAGTTGCATATTAAGGCAAAGACCGATATGGTAGAACAAGACAAACATCTACAAGTTTATAAAAGAACCAAGTAACAGAAATTGTAACTTGACAAGATTATCTTTTATATTTTAACCTGACAAGATTATCTTTTGTAATAAGATGATCACAAAGCCAGCACAAAGAAAAAGAAAATGGTTATGTATTGAATGTATCCTCCATAACATCTAAATACTTGAAGAGAGGGCTTTAACGGATATCAGTGACTTCAGGTGGGAAAACTATCAACCTAGGTTGTTATGTGGTATCATAATAAATGAAATAATTTATTGTTCTACTACACACTGTTGCTTTAAAACTGTTGGGAGGAGTCCATGTGAACAGAGGAAAATGTAAGGAAATAGTATCACTACACGAAGTCATTTTGTTATCAAAATAATGTGTATAAGCACATAAGAAAGATATTTCATGGAATAATTTAATTTTCTTTTTGCGCTGAGAGGTCAAAATTATATTTGAAATAATGAGACTGTCTCAATATGCTGGGAAGATAGAGTCTCAGCTAACAAGACAACAATAAAATTACATTTATTGAGGTTAAACACATTTTGTGTTAACTTATTTCATATGGTAAATACTAGTATGTACTAGTATTGTCTGCATTTTAAAATAAAGGGAAAGGTAACAGGTAAAATAAGAAATCAACAAGACATAACTCATAAAGTTTTCAGGATTTAGAAGTTATAAGAAATTTTCCCTCTCTGAAAGAAACAAAGGAAATTTTTCCAAATTTCTTCCCAAGTCCATCTTTTTTCCCCTTGTGTTTTATTTTTGCCCCTTCTTAACTGTACTGAAAAAGGTTCCAAACCAAAATATTTGAAGTTGTCTGAGCATTACTCTCACCATTATTGAAACCATCACACATATATTTAAAAGATATGTTTTTTTTTTTAAATCATCTTGAATTTCTTCTCTTAAAGGCTTTCACTGTCTTTATGTCCCAACTTAGCTGGAATGCAGGTTTCCTTAGACATTAAGAACTGCCCAAAGAAAACTAGAAATACTAAGAAACTTACTCGTGACCAGAGGCGGCACATTAAGAGGTGGGAATATTTCATTGCGGCAGAAGAAGTCATTTGGGACTATGCACCTGTAATTCCAGCAAACATGGACAAGTGAGTATTAGGGGTTCTTACACAGTTGAAGGTTAAAAACATCATCAGTGGGGCCCACTGAAATGGGGTGAAATGCCATGAGTTGATATCTCTTAGCTGTCAAATCAATCTGGAATTATACCAAAATCACCAAGGGAACTCAGCATAATAAGAGGAGTAATAATAGTAATAGTAATGGTAGAAATAGCTAACACTTGTTAAATGCTTGATACTTCCAAGCACTGTGTTAAACCTTTCTAAGAGCTTCATTTTAATTCTTCAAGTTAAAGACAGCTTTTACTTATTTTGTAGATTAGGAAATCACATGATCATTTCAATAGATGCAGAAAGGACCTTTGACAAACTTCCTTTAGTGATAGACTCTCAATAAACTAGGTCGAAAAGGACTGTTCCTCAACATAACAAAGGATATATACAACAAACCCTAAGATAACATCATACTCAATGGTGAAAAGCTGAAATCTTTTCCTCTAAGATCAGGAATAAGACAAGTGTGCCTACTTTCACCACTTCTCTTCAACATGGTACCGGAAATCGTAGCCAGAGCAATCCAGCAATAAAAAAAAAATAAAAGGCGGGCCTCCCGGTGGCATTGGCAGTTGAGTGCAGCGCTGTGAAGCTGTCAGTAGCCTCTGCAGTGCCGGTTCAATCCCTGCTGGCTGTGGAGATACCCACATGGTGTGGCAAACCTCTCCTGTCTCGCCCGCTGCTCCCTCAGCAGTGTATTTCAGTCAATCTGCCTGTTCTGTTCCCTACTCTGTCTCTGGTGAATCCTCTCATCCCCTGCACATCTGGCCTGTACCCCAGTTCTTGTATAAATAAAAAAAAAAATTAAAAATAAAAAAATATAAAAGGTATCCAAATTAAAAAGGGAGATGTAAAATTACCTCTATTTGCAAATCACATGATTTCATATATAGAAACCCTAAAAATGCCTACCAAAATAACTATTAGAACTAATAAAAGAATTCAATGAATTTGCAGGATGTAAAATCAACATGTAAAAATCAGTTGCATTTATATACACTAACAAAGAACTATATAAACAGAAATTTAAAATGAACTAAAATATCTACACATTGAAAACTGTAAGATATTGGTAAAAGAAATAGAAGACACAAATAGAAAGATATCCTGTGTTCATGAATTTGAAGAATCAATTTTGTTAAAAAGTTCATACTCCTCAAAGTAATCTACAAATTCCTATCAAAAATTTCAGGACATTTTTCACAGAAGAAGGAAAGAAAACAATTCTAAAATTCACATGAAACCACAAAAGAATCCAAATACCCAAGTAACCTTGAGAAAAAAGAACAAAACTGGAGGCATCACACATCTTGATTTCAAACTATAATACAAATCTACTGCAATCAGAACAGTTTGGTGATGGAGTAAAATTATATAAACCAATGGAACAGAATAGAGACCAAAAATAAACCAAGGTATACACATTCAACAAATGTTTCACATTTGTCAAACATAATAAAAAACACAATGGAGAAGAGGATAGTCTCCTCAAAAAATGATAATGGAAAAATTGGATATCCATTTGGAAACTAATGAAATTAGAACCTTAGCTTACACCACTTATGAGAATTAATTCAAAATGCATTTAAAACTTACATGTAATATTTAAAAGCACAAAACTCTTAGGAGAAAACACAAGGAAAAAGCTCTTTAGCATAGGTCTTTGCAATGATTTCTTGGAAATGACACCAAACACACCAGCAACAAAAGCAAAAATTAACAAGTGTGACTAAGCCAAACAAAAAAGGTTATTCACAGTAAAAGAAAAAAATCCAAAAAATTAAAAGGTAATGTGTGGAATGGGAGAATATACTTACAAATCATATATCTATGAGGTTAGTATTAAAAAATATATATAAAACTTATGTAACTCAATAGCAATCATTCCCCATGAGGGAAATGAGAAAATACTGGTCAAGTGTATAAACTTTCTGTTATAAGACAAATACATTCTGGGTATCTAATAAACAGCAGGGTAACCATAGTCAAAATTACTGTATTGTATGCTTGAAATTTACTGAGATAATAGATTGTAATTTTTCTTATCACACACATTTATAAACATACACAAGAAACACACCATATTAAGTAGGTAAGATGAAGGAGGTATTAATAAGCTGTGGTAATCACATGTATACATATATAAATCATTACATATACTGCAAATATACACAATTTTTTACTCATCACTAGACCTCAAGAAAACTGGAAAATGCAAAAAAAAAGGTCAAGGTATAGCACAGTGAATAGCTACCTTTTATTAAATGAGTGAGAAAAAGAATATATTTTCAAGTCATATTTACATGTATTTGCATAAAAATACTCTGCAATTGTGTGTTGACACACAAGTCAATTGTGTATAATACAAGTGAATGTTTAAAAAATGCTGAGAGTTTGGGGAGGTAGTTTAAGGAGATATATTATGTAAGAGTTTTCAATTCAATCAAAATCATGTGAATGTGTTTGCTTTTAAAATTTTAACTTAGATTCTGAACAAAAGGGGGACTTTTACAAGAGTACAATAATAGCAGACAAAATTAAGATAGGAACCCTGTACACTCTGGCAACAAGGATTTTTATCATTCAAAAAAAAATACATCAAAATGAATAAACTTCATCACGGAGTTTCTTGAAAACTAAGGCAATAAAGAGGACCAAAGGGGAAAGTGGTTTACACTGCTGCCCCTGAATCATTTATTTCACCATTTACAGGACTGGGTGAACATGGTCGCTTTTCAGTCAGCACGAGGACTGGGTGGATTGCAGAAGGGCAGCCCAACAAAACAGAACTATAGAAACAGTGAAAATTTCCTGGAGTAGAAATGGCTTTTAGAGATTGAAAAATACCTGGAAAGCCAATAAGTGTACATAGACTAAGTGACAGGAGAGACTTAGGAAAAATCTTAGTATGTCCTATACTTGCAGCCAGTATAAGCCTTTTTGCAGAGATATCTAAGGTCTACTATTGCCACCAGAATGACAGGCAGATGGAAACAGCTGCTATTAACTAGATGCAGCTGACTTTATCTATGGGCGGAGGGGAGAAAACAGCTCAGACATTGCCACTTCTCCAAAAGACAACAGAACTTTGCTAAACCGCATTAAGATTTTTCTTTCTTTCACTCTTTTTTTTAGAAGGCTAACTTTTAGCTAATCCAAGGGCAAAACTTCTAAGCACCATGGTTTCACCATTTTACAGTGGTCTTTACTTGAAAAAACGGTGCAATATTTTTAAAATTTCATCTTACTTTAAGAAAATACAGATCTCTGCACTTGGATAATTTCTCAAACCAAATTGGAAAGCATTATAAGAAGGTTGTCTACAGACAGTACCAAGATGCATCCTTCACCAAACGGCTGGATATCAATGAAGATGGAATCTTGGGCCCTATTATCAGAGCCCAGGTCAGAGACACACTCAAAGTAAGTAACAGAAATGAGAACCATGGAAATACTGGTTATTTTAAATAGAAAAAAAAAATTCTTTCATCTTTAAAAGAAAAATATGTCCATATAATTTTAAATTCAAATGCAGCTTTGAGTCTTTATTGATAATATTTGCACTTATTCATAGCCTACCTCGTCATGCAAAAACTGAGACAGTTTATCAAATTATGAAGGAATAATACCAAAGTTGATGTAATTCGGGTGAAGGATAATCTGGGGACAAAGAAAATAAAGCCAATGATAAGTCTATTGAAACACATGCTATATGTTCCTTTGAGGTTGTCTGCAAATTCTTTCTCAAGGTTTCTAGTAGCCAAAGTAAAAAGGGAAATATGCTAGGACAAGATTCATAGTAGTCATGAAGTTACTAGAGGACTTTCTCCTTTGGATCCTAAAAAAGAGGATGCTGTGTGATGAAATGCATAGAATCCTTGATAAAATTCCTACTACTGGCACAATAAATTAAAAGTCTGCCTCACCTTTTAAAATGTTATAGCTCATAACATACAGTAAACACAAATGAATAAAAATCAATCTTTCAATGTGCTCTAGGTATATAGTTCTCTGATGATTGGTATCTGATGAAGACAAATTTAGATATGTGTCAAGAGCTGTAAGTGTTCTTCTGACAGCTTTTCTTAAATGTTGTGTCACATCATCAAGCTTTTGCTGAGAACTAGGCAGCAGAGAATCAAGGTGGCACAAGATTTGGAATGCAGATAATCTACAGATAAGGATGAGTCAAAGGCTTTCCCAATCAACCAAGTCAAAGATAAGATTAAGGTTCTTTTTTGAAGATTAAGGAGCTTAACTAGGAGTGCTGCATGAACACTGCCCACCCCCACTGCCCTCTTCATAGGGGTAAACTAAGAGGGTATCTGCAGACAAGTCCTATTCTGCTTATTTAAAAATAATAAAAGGACAAAACTCAACCTCTCTTACTTTCTCTTTCCCTTCCTCGCTTTTTTCCTTTTTTTTTTTTTTTTAAGATTTATTTATGCATACAAGAACTGGGGTATAGGCCAGAGGTGCGGGGAATGAGAGGATTCACCAGAGACAGAGTGGGGAACAGAATAGGCAGACTGACTGCAATACACTGCCAACAGGAGCAGCAGGGGAGACTGGAGAGGTCTGCTGCGCCATGTGGGTTGCTCCCTGACTGACTGGGGATTGAACTTGTGCTGCAGAGGCTGTGGATAGGTTCATAGTGCTGTGCTTAACCCCTTGCACCACCAGGGAGGCCCCTGCGTTGATTTCTGATCCTTTTTTATGTGCCTCAAGCAAGTGTAAGTACAGCTCATTGAAAATGAAGATGGCTTCCTCAGTCAAAGCCAAACCAATAATAAACTCTTAACATATGGCCACAAAATTGCTATCCCCAGAGGGGGACAGTGGCAGGGTTGTAGTGGGGGAATGAAGGGGTCTAGTGAAACATGGTAGAGTTGGGGCTCTGGTGTTGGATAGGGTATGAAAGTATACATTTGTAGAGGTTTGAACCTATAACCCCTTGAGCAGATACAAAGATGTAAACCTACTTTACCTCGATAAATATAATTTGGGGGAGAAGGGGAGATGGCTTCAAAGTGGTGCTAAAATTCTCCTCTAACTGGAGAGACGAATCACAACTTAGAAAGGAGCCCATTACAAAGGAGAGGGCAAGAGAGAGAGAGACCGGTTTGGAGAAGGTAAGGAAAACAATAAGTCAAACCTGTCTTTCCACCTTCCACCTTACAATGTGAGTAAAACTTTCAAATGCTTCTTCCAGGTGATGGGGTAGGTCACTGCTCAAATAAACAGAACTAGTGTGTGCACACACACCCTTCTACCAAGTGAATATACAAAGATAGCATCCTATATTAATTTTTATGCTTGACCTTAAATTAACTTTATTTAACTTTGTAGATTGTGTTCAAAAATATGGCCAGCCGTGTGTACAACATTTATCCTCATGGAGTGACCTTCTCCCCTTATGAAGATGAGGTCAACTCTTCTTCCAACTCAGGTGTGAATCATTTGCTTCCAGAAACTATTGACCTCTGATAAGCTGCCACATTTTTCTACTAACCTCTTTGCCTTTGTGCAATCAGGGAGTATAGATGTAAGGGTATGGTAAAATTCACAGCTCTTTGGGGAATAGTGGTTACAGTGTCCTTTTTAGTGCCATAGTGACCTCTAGTGGAGCAATATCTATGACTACATGCTACCCAGGATACTATCAAGGGAGGTTAATGTAAAAAGAATATTCCTTTCCAAGTATTAATTGATTCTAAAGAAAGCTCAAATTATTTATATTTTTGTATCGAGTATCATGAAAAAATTATATTTTTCTTTCAGGCGCTGATACCATGATTAGAGCAGTTCAACCAGGGGAAAACTATACTTATAAGTGGAACATCCTGGAGTCTGATGAACCCACAGAAAATGATGCCCAGTGCTTAACAAGACCATACTACAGTAATGTGGACATCATAAGGGACATAGCCTCTGGGCTGATAGGGTTACTTCTAATTTGTAAAAGCAGATCTCTGGACAAGAGAGGCATACAGGTATTTTTGTCCTTGAGGCAACTTTTTAGAAATTCCAGTTTTCTCTGGCTAGAATAGTAAATAATGTGGATTTTCCTTTTTGAGAACAGTAAATATCAAATAGTTCTCTTTAATGAAAATGTGATAATGGTTACTCCTTTGGTTACTTTTTAAAAAAAATGCTGAAATAACATTGGTTTATAGCATTATTTGGGTTTCAGATGTATAGCATTATAAATCAATACACACACACACACACACACACGTGGGTGTCTATATTATGTTCACCACCAAAAGTCTAGTTTCCATTCTTCCAAACTGATTCCTTTTTTTTTTTTTTTGAAATATGCACTCATCTCCCCCTGCCCTTCTGGTTCCACTATTTATTTGGTTTTATAAGAGTTTGTTTTTGTTTTGTTTTGTTTGCTCATTTGTCCTGTTTATCTTTCACAGATGAGTGAGATCATATGATGTTTATCTTTTTTCTGACATTCCACTTAAAATAATATCCTCTAAGGTGCATCTACATTCTTGCAAGTGGCAATATTTCATCAAAAAAGATGAAATAGCTGAGTAGTAGTCCATTGTGTGTATGTGGCTAGGTGGATGGATGGATAGCTCATCTTCTTTATCTAATCATCCACTGATGGGCACTTAGGTTGTTTCCAACTCTTGGGTTTTGTGAATAATGCTGCAGTGAACATGGAGGTACAAATATTTCTTCAAATTAGTGTTTTTGTATTCTTCAGATAAATATGCAGAAGTGGGATAGCTGGATCATATGTTATTTCTATTAATTTTTTGAGAAACCTCACTACTATTTTGCATAATGGCTATACAAATTTACATTTCCACCAACAGTGTATGAGTGTTCCTTTTTCTTCACATTTTCACCAATACTACTTGTTTCTTGTTTTTATGATAGAGATTCTCACAGGTGTAAGTTATACCTTGATATTATTTTGATTTACATTTCTTTAATAATAACAGATGATTACATCTTTTCATGTGAACCTTTTCTAATGTGTCTTCTTCATAGAAATGTCTATTGAGATCCTCTGTCCATCTTTTAATTGGGTTGTTTTTAAGTTGTATGAGTTCTTTGTGTTTTTTTTATATTAATTCCTTATTGGAAGCATGGTTTTCAAATATCTTATCCAGTTTACTAATTTGTTTTATTGTTTTGAGAATAGTTTCTTTCACTGTGTAGAGCTTTCTGGTTTGGTATAGTCCCATTTATTTATTTTTCTTTTGTTTGTACCTAAAGACATCTTAGGGCCAATGTCAAGGAGTTTTTATTGCCTATCTTTGGTTATTTTTTGTCTTATTTTCCTCAGGACTCACTGCTGAAGACAAGTCTACATGATACTGTGCTTTAATTTCGAATTTCAGTCTATTGCTATTGGCTATATGATGAGCAAGTGACTTAACTTCTCTTAATTTCTTCCTTTTATTGTATGGGTGCTACCCCTCTTTAACCTCTTACAGGGTTGTTTTAAGCTGGCTCAGTGAGAAACCATCTGGTAGAAGTATCTGTATCAATCTTTGTTATTTTTAGAAACCTGCACTCAGATAAGACAGATAAGGGAGATATACAGCTCTGGTGATAAGGGAGATGTCCAGCTCTGGTGAGACTAAATTAGACAGAAGACTGTAACAAAGATATGGAACATCTGACTTTATCATCAATAAAGAATAATAGCCACATAGTAATTTAAATTTCAAGATAATCAGGCTAAGTTATAACCAAAGAAGTCTCATCCAAAGGCATACAAAATAAACCTATGCCTAAAAAAAAAAAATCATAAAATGAACATTATTAATCTTGATTTGAGCTAGGCAATGAAACAGGGAGAGTTATAAAGCTTGCTTACTACATACAGCCTTCTGTTTTATCCTTTGCAGCTCTTTGGAGCACATCCAGTCAGTCATTCAAGTTGAAAGGTGTTCATTTACAGAGATAAACAGAATTTCAGTTGCCATGATGAATTGGGATGTTTCTATTAGGGAATTTTAGTCTCTGAATTTACTGATCTGTTTGCTTTTGCATATTATTTTTGGTTCTAACATGTGCTTTGTCTATAATGAGCTCTCACAAGTGCCTGAATATGTGAACTTTGTGGTCCCAAGGGCTGTGCCCCTTTGGTTTCTGAGAACTCTGGCACTCAGTAAGTGCCAGAACATTAATCACTGAACACACTTTCACCCTCCAGAGGACAGCAGACATTGAGCAGCAGGCTGTGTTTGCAGTGTTTGATGAGAACAAGAGCTGGTATATTGAGGACAACATCAACAAATTTTGTGAAAATCCTGATAAGGTGAATCGTGATGACCCCAAGTTTTATGAATCAAACATCATGAGCAGTAAGTGGGAGCACTGTTTTGTCTATCAATTTTTTATTCCTAGGGCTGAACTGTGAGGCAGCGACATGGATTAGAATCTTCTCACTTCTTATCCACACCTTCAGTCCAGGGATTTGGTGATGAAATGCCTTGGTTATATAGCTTTCAGCACATTGCAATCCAGATTACCTGCATTTCAAGTGCTTAATAGCCATTTGTTGCTAGTGGCTATTGATTCAATTACATAGTTCACTACAGACCATTTACAAAATTTTCCAGAATGAGTTGCAAATTAATGACATCATGATATGTCAGTTTTTCAATATATATTTAATGCCAGTCATTGTGCAAGGACTAGGGCTATAGTGGATTTTATTCCATGCTTAGTATGTAAGTAAATAAAGATATTGCCTAAAACTGGTCCCCTTGAAAAATAATGAAAATATATAGCCTCAATACTTGTTTGAAAACTATAGATCATATAAATGCAGAGAGGGAACAATATGTGCTGTTCACATACTGTTCACATACAGCAAGATGTGCTGAAGATGCTTATTTTTAGGGGCATTACTTCTTATTCAATGACTAATGTGTCAAAAGGATACATTTTTTATATTATGATTTTCCTCCATGTAGAATTATCCTAGATCATATTCTAAATTAATCTTCAGAATAGCTTTAAATACAGAATGTGGAACAAAAAATATTTAAGATGTATTTGACAAATAAATGAATAAATCAACATGAATGAAAAGTTTTGTCTTCATCCTGACATTTCCACCTTGGCTAACTTAGTAGAAGAGACTCTCTCTTTTTTTAAAAAAAATTTTTTTTCATGTGTGTAGAAGAACTGGGGTATGGGCCAGAGGTGCGGAGGGGTGAGAGGATTCACCAGAAACAGAGTGGGGAGCAAAATAGGCCGATCTACTGAAATACACTGCTAAGGGGAGCAGTGCGCAAGAAAGGAGAGGTCTGCTGTGCCAAATGTGGATTAGCTCCCTGGCTGGGAATCAAACTCAGGCCATAGCTCTCTCTGATAGTACTGACTTAACCCCTAGGCCACCAGGGAGGCTACCTAGAATAGACTCTCATTAGGGAAGTCTGAGTTTGATCTTTGAGTCACATGTTAGACCTGATAAAGATTATTTTAAATAATCCCTGCGTTGATGAAACCAAATTAACATGGGGATGTTTATCTTAGATATAATTAGACATGTGCCCTTTGTTGTTAAGGGCGTGGCATGATAACAGATTTTACTCTTTCAGCCATCAATGGCTATGTGCCCGAAAGTATACCCACACTAGGATTCTGCTTTGATGACACTGTCCAGTGGCACTTCTGCAGTGTGGGAACCCAGGATGACATTTTGACCATTCACTTCACGGGGCATTCATTTATCTATGGAAAGAGGCATGAGGACACCTTGACCCTCTTTCCCATGCGTGGGGAATCTGTGACTGTCACAATGGATAATGTCGGTAAGAGCCTGGACACTAAGAACAATCTCTGGTCTAAAATGGTCTACTTCATCTCTTCATACATCCCAGTTCCTGAGTTTATCTCTCTGATCCCTTAGAGGCTTTCCTTTCAATACTACTCTCGATATCTATTTATGAAATTAATTACTTGAAAGGATCCAGTTCTTTAATGTATGTTCTGCTTACATTTCTTTGGGCTAAGAAGTAAAGAGAAGAAAGATAAAACATAACCTTGAAGAGGAAGCATGAGTCCTCAACAACAACAAAACACTTCTTTTATCAAAATGTCCTTTTGTTTTTTAAGATAGCCACTCTACCCTAGGTTAGAAATTATTGAATATTGTGCCTTAAAGACTGGCTTCAGAGATAACACCATATGGTGAAAAACACATAGGCTTTAGAGTTCTTCAGATCTGGATTAAATTCTGCTCTGCCAGTCAGTACCTGTGTAACCTTTGACAAATTACAGACCTCACAGAGTCTAGGTTTATTCAATTGAAAAACAGAATAGCAACACCTTACAGAGTTGTTTTGGCCATTAATTTTATGTTCCAAGCACCTCGCCCTTAGACACTCAATAAACAGACCTTTCTCAGGAAATTTTTAGTGTGCCAGAAAATCACTCAATTTCAGAGATTCAGAATTCCCCCAGGTTCACTTGAATTATTTATTACTTAGAATTATCCAAATGTGTCTTACTCATGATTAGACATCATCCTCCCACTAACTCCAATTCTCAAACAAGAGATACAATAATGAGTTGTTTATGATATTCAAAGTTCATTTTGTTCTTGATTCATTCCTCTTTAAAATATAGTTCAAAAAGAGTGACTCTCAAGCTATCTCTGCTAAAAGTTTTCTTTTTCTTAATCACAATTGTCCAATAATTTAGGTCTATATTCTATTAAATGAGTTAAGTACATTGATCACATTGTTATGAGGTTGTTCAAAATTACGCTCAATTTCTCTTTTTATATGGAACATAACTGAAAGTCCTGAATAATATTTGTTGGGAATTATCTCCCACAATAGATACTGCAGCTTTTATATTGTCTTCTGGACTTAGAACTCAGTTTCCTCTCTGTTGCTCTTCTATAGGAACTTGGATGTTAACTACCATGAATTCCAATCAAAGAAGCAAAAATCTAAGGTTGAGATTCAGGGATGTTAAGTGTATCCGTGATGATGATGAAGACTCATATGAGATTATATATGAACCTTCAGAATCTACATCCTTGACTACAAGAAAAATGCGTGATTCCTCTGAAAACAAAGATGAAGAGGAGGATGATGACTCTGAATACCAGGCCAAACTAGCTTCAGAATTAGGAATTAGGTCCTTCAGAAATTCATCATTGAATCAGGAGGAAGATGAGTTCAACCTTACTGCCCTAGCTCTGGAGGACAGCTCTGAATTCATTTCTCCAAGTACTGACAGAGCTATTGGTTCAAATTCTTCTCCGCCAAGTAACATTAGTAGGCTCCATGGCAATAACTACACAGAAACTTGGAAAATTCTTCCTCACCCAGAAGTCACCACAACTGTTCTGGGACACAATGGCTTAAACAAGAACTCAGTTCTTAACCCTTCCACAGCAGAGCATTCTAGTCCTTATTCTGAAGATCCTATAGAGGACCCTCTGCAGTCAGATGTCACAGGAATAAGCCTACTTCCACCAGGTGCAGAAGGGCTCAGAAGTAAAAAACGTGATAAACATAAGGGATTCAAGGCAGGAAGAGATCAACCAGTAAAGCATAGATCCTCCCAGATGGAATTACATAAAACTGGGAGATATTTAAAGAAAGGCAATACTTCTCCTTCTAGAAAAGTGTCCTTGGAAGACCTACCCAATAATCTGTTACTCTTGAAACAAAAAAATCCATCAAAGATTTTGAATGGAAAGTGGCATTTGATTTCTGAGAAAGGTAGCTATGAAATAGTACAAGAAAATGATGAAGACAATACGACTGTTAATAAACTGTTGAATAATCCACAGAATGCCTCAAGGACTTGGGAAGAAAGCATTCCTCTTACAAATAAGCATGAAAAGCAGAGTGATCATCCAAAATTTTCTGGAATTAAGCATAAATCTCTACAAGTAAGACGGGATGGAGGAAATGGTAGGTTGAAGAAAAGCTCTTTTTTCATTAAGACACGAAAAAAGAAAAGGGAAGAGAAGTTTGCACAGCATGTTCCTCTATCTCCAAGGGGTTTTCATCCTTTAAGTGGAAAGACTAACATCACATTTTCAGACAAGAGACTTGATCATTCATTGTTACTCCATAAATCCAATGAAACATCCTTTCCCATAGATCTCAATCAGACATTCTCCTCCATGAACCTTAGCCTGATAGCCTTACTTCCTGACCATAATCAGAACTCCTCAAATGACACTGGTCAGACAAGCTCCCCTCCAAATCTTTATTTAAACATGCCCACCAAGGAACACTATCAAACATCACCTGTTCAAGAGTCTGATCAAATGTACTCCACCACAGACTTCAGTCACGGTTCTTCAGAGTTCAGTCGGATGCTTGACTATGACATTGGTCAAGTGTTCCCTTCCTTGGAACTTGAAGCCTGGAAGATAACCATCTCACCAGACCTTAGTCAGTCAAACCCTTCCCCAGACCCTCAGCAGATGCCTTTTCCACCAGACCTCAGCCAGGAGACATTCTCTCCAGACCTCAACCAGACAACCTCTTTCCCAGATCTCAGCCAGGAGACTCTCTCTCCAGACCTTGACCAGACAACCTCTTTCCCAGACCTCACACAGGAGACTCTCTCTCCAGACCTTTCCCAGACAACCACTTCCCCAGAACTCAGCCACGTGACTCTCTTTCAAGACCTCAGCCAGACAACCCCTCCCCCAGATCTCAGCCAGGAGACTCTCTTTCTAGACGTTGGCCAGACAACTTCTTCCCCAGACCTCAGCCAAGAAACTCTCTCTCAAGATCTCAGCCAAACAGCTGTATTCCCACACCTCAGCCAGACCACTCCTCATCCAGACCTAGGTCAAGCAATCCTCTCTGCAGATATCAGTGAAACAACCCTTCCTCCTGATGTCAGGCAAACTTCACCTCCTCCCAAAGTTGATCATACATTCGACACTTCTGAATCTAGTCATTCATTGCTTCTTCCAGAATTTGGTCAGACTTTCCCTTATTCAGACCTTGATCAGATTCCATCTCCTTCACCCAATGACACTATATCAAGGGAATTGAATCCACGGGTTGTAGTTGGCCTCAGTGGAGATGATGGAGATTATATTGAGTTTATTCCAAGGCAAAAGGAACAGAGTAGTGAAGAAGACTATGTTGAAATTGACTATGTGGCCTATGATGACCCTTACCAAACTGATACCAGGACAGACATCAACTCCTCCAGGAATCCTGACAACATTGCAGCATGGTATCTCCGCAGCAACAATGGAAACAGAAGAAATTATTACATTGCAGCCGAAGAAATATTGTGGGATTATTCAAAATTTGCACAAAGGTTTGACCAGCTTTTTCCTTTTATAGTCTCATATTCCACTACTGCTGAAAAAAAGTAACTGTAACAGTTCAAGGAGATAATTCCAGGCAAATTATGCTAAGTGTAATTTAGCTCACCTATTGTAACTTCATTTCCTTTGTTAATACCAAGATTACCGTCTCTACTTTAGATGATATCAGAACAATATAAGGACGGTTACTTTGAGAAGTCTGTGGTATAAATATCTATGTCCCCTCCTTTATCCTCTCATCTTACTGCGCATGTTCCTATACCCTCTGTTTATCTGGTACAGGACCCATCCTATCAATTGAAGTTGGTTTCAGATTCAAATTTGTGATGTATGTAGAAATCTCCTTTTTCATTCACTTGTTTATAAAGAACATTTTAATATTGGTTAGTGAGCCATGTAAGGTACATAGCATCTTCATTAAGTTTAATTCAAATTCTATGAGATTCTAGTAGCAAAGACAAAGGATATATACTAGCTTAGAAACAAGAAACTAGTTTACAGCCTCAATTAAGACAGTCCATAGATAATAACTTAATCTTGATTTAAAGTTCAGTTTTAACATAGCTTATAGAATCATTCACTTTTAAATGAAGGCATTATTCCAAATGGCCCCCAAGATCCTTCAGGGTTTCAGCCATTTATCAACCATAGAGCTGAAGGACTTGATGCAATTTTTAAGTGGTATGATTTAAAACAGAGTTTCTAAGGGGTTCATGTATAATTCTAAATGATAATTTTCAATTCATTTTTGCTTAAGGGTTAAAAGCCATATTGGGCTGGACTCTATATTCTATGATGAAACTAGAGAGAGGGACAAGTAAGCAGATTAGGCTTACATGTATTTAGGCACAGAGCTTGTTGACCATGCCAAACTGTTTGAATATAGCACACAGCTTTTACACTAAAAAATTAAAAACCAAAGTGCAATTAGAGTAAGCAAACACAATGCATGGTGTGCCTTTTTTTTAAGGATTCATTTTTTAATTTTTTAATTTTATACATTTTTTACATCATTTTCATTTTTGCACAATGTATGCTTTTTCATCTTGGTTATAGTCCCCATACAATTCCCACCCCCTTGTTTTGATTCTACTTCCTCCTCCCCCCACTGCTCCCATAGTGTGTGTCTGGTTTATAGTTGCTTGTTGATTTTGATTTTTACTTTATTATAATTAGGTTTTTTCCTGGTTCCTTATTTGGGTTTTCTAAATTCCTGCTAGGAGTGAGACCATCTAGTATTTTTCTCTTTCTGGCTTATTTTGCTGAGTATGATCCCTTCCAGCTCCATCCATGTTGCTGCAAATGGCATTGAGTCTTTTTTGATTGCTGAGTAATATTCCACTGCTTTGGGTGATGTGTCTGTAAAGATGTCTTTAATGTGCAAATCACGTAGCATTTCGCCTATATTTCCTTCTATGTATTTTATGGTTTCAGGTCTTATGTCTAGTTCTTTAATCCATTTTGAGTTGATTTTTGTGTATGGTGTGAGGTAGTGGTCAAGCTTCATTCTTTTGCATGTAGCGACCCAGTTTTCCCAGCACCATTTATTGAACAAACTTTCTTTGCTCCAATGCATAGTCTTTGCTCCTTTGTCAAAGATTAGTTGATCATAAATCTGTGGGTTTATTTCTGGATTTTCTATTCGATTCCATTGGTCTGTATGTTTGTTCTTGTTCCAATACCATGCAGTTTTGATGATTATGGCTTTGTAGTATAGTTTGAAGTCTGGGAGTATGATGCCTCCATTCCCTTCTTTTTTTTCAGGACAGCTTTGGCTATTCGGGGTTTTTTGTAATTCCATATGAATTTCATCAATAATTGTTCTATTTCTTTGAAGAATGACATTGAAATTTTGATTGGAATAGCACTGAATCTGTAGATTGCTTTTGGTAGGATGCTCATTTTAATAATGTTTATTCTTCCAATCCATGAGCAGGGGATGTCTTTCCATTTCTTTGTGTCTTCTTCTATTTCTTTTAACAGTGTTTTATAGTTTTCTTTGTATAGGTCCTTTACCTCTTTTGTTAGATTTATGCCCAAATATTTGATTTTTTTTGTTTCGATAATAAAAGGGATGTTTTTTTTTTATTTCTTCTTCTTCAGATTTATTGTTTGTGTATAGGAAGGCTACTGACTTTTGTGTGTTGATTTTGTATCCTGCCACTTTACTGAACTGATTGATGAGTTGAATTAGTTTTTCTGTGAAGTTTTTGGGGTTCTCTATGTATATTATCATATCATCTGCAAAAAGTGATAGTTTGACTTCTTCTTTTCCTATTTGGATTCCTTGTATGTCTTTCTCTTGTCTTATTGCTCTGGCTAGGACTTCCAGTATTATATTGAAAAGCAGTGGTGAGAGTGGACATCCTTGTCTTGTTCCAGATCTTAATAGAATTGCTTTCAGCTTTTCACCATTGAGAATGATACTGGCTGTTGGTTTGTCATAGATGGCCTTTATGATGTTGAGGTATGTTCCTTGTATCCCAAGAATTTCAAGGGCTTTTATCATGAATGGGTGTTGCACTTTGTCGAAAGCTTTCTCAGCATCTATTGATATTATCATATGGTTTTTATATTTCTTTTTGTTGATGTGTTGGATAACGTTGATTGATTTTCGGATGTTAAACCATCTGGCTTTAGGATTCCTTGTAGTATTTTTTGGAGTGGGGCTTTAGTGGTAATGAAATTCCATAGTTTCTGTTTGTCTGGGAAGGTCGTTATTCTTTCTTCATAGAGGAAGGAGAGCTTTGCGGGATAGAGTATTCTTGGAATGAATCCTACTTGGTCGTGGTGAATTATCTTATGGATACATTGTTGGATTCTGATAGCTAAAATTTTATTGAGGATTTTTGCATCAGTGTTCATTAGGGAGATTGGCCTGTAGTTTTCCTTTTTTGTGTTGTCTTATTCGGTTTTGGTATTAGTGTAATGTTGGCTTCATAGAACGTGTTTGGTATTGTCTCTTCCTTCTCAATTTTTTGGAGGAGTTTGTGAAGGATAGGCACTAATTCATCTCTGAATGTTTGGTAGAATTCATTTGTAAATCCATCAGGTCCTGGGCTTTTGTTTTTGGGGAGGTTTTTGATTACCATTTCAATTTCGCTGCTTGTAATTGGTCTGTTTAGGTGTTCTATTTCTTCTTTATCTAGCTTTGGGTGATTGTAGAGTTGTAGGAATTTGTCCATCTCCTCTAGATTGTTGAACTTGTTTCCATATAACTGTTCATAGTAGTTACTGATTATTCTTTTGATTTCTGCTGTGTCCGTTGTGATTTCTCCTCTTTCATTTATTATCCTGTTTATTTGTGCTTTCTCCCTTTTTTCCTTTGTGAGCCTGGCTAGGGGTTTGTCTATTTTGTTGATTTTTTCGAAGAACCAGCTCTTGGTTTCATTAATCTTTTGGATTGTTTTTTTAGTTTCAATTTCATTTATTTCTGCTTTGGTTTTTATTATTTCTTTTCTTCTACTGGTTTTGGGGTTTTTCTTTGTTGTTCTTTTTCTAGATCTTTGAGCTTCGAGATTAGGTTGTTTCTTTGAGTTCTTTCTTGTTTCTTGATGTGAGCTTCTATTGCTATATATTTTCCTCTTATTACTGCTTTTGCTGCATCCCATACATTTAGGATATTGGTGTCCTCCTTGTCATTCAATTCAAAAAATTTTTAATTTCCTCTTTGATCTCCTCATTAGTCCAGTGGTCTTCCAGTAGTGTGGTTTTTAGTCTCCATGAGGTAGGAAAGTTCCTTGCCTTCTTTTTATGGTTTATTTCTAGCTTGATGCCTTCATGGTCAGAAAAGATGGTTGGTATGATTTCAATCTTGGTGTATCTGTAGATGTTTGTCTTGTGCCCCAGTATGTGATCGATCCTGGAGAATGATCCGTGTGCGCTTGAGAAAAATGTGTACTCCGTTTTTTTGGGGTTTAGTGTTCTATAGATGTCTGTTAAACCCAAATGCTCTAGGTCCTTATTTAGAGCTTTAGTTTCTTTACTTATTTTTTGTCTTGTTGATCTATCCATTGTTGATAGTGGTGTGTTGAAGTCTCCCACTACATATGTGTTTTCTCTGATGTCTGTTTTCAGAGATGACAACAGTTGTCTGATATATTTTAGTGCTCCTTCGTTTGGTGAGTATATGTTAATGAGTGTTATTTCTTCTTGAAGTATTGTCCCCTTGATCATAATGTAGTGACCGTTGGGGTCTCTTTTTATTTTTTTGAGTTTGAAATCTGTTTTATCTGATATAAGTATAGCTGTTCCTGCTTTCTTTGTTGGTCCATTTGCTCGTAGGATTGTTTTCCATCCTTTAACTTTGAGTCTATTTTTATCTTTTGTAGCTAAATGTGTTTCCTGGAGACAGCAAAAGGTTGGGTTTTGTTTCTTAATACAGGCTGCAACTCTGTGTCTTTTTATTGAAGAGTTTAGTCCATTTACATTTAGGGTTAATATTGATATGTTAGCATCTGTATTTGCCATTGTGTTTGTCTTTCCTTTGATTTTATTTATTCTTTTAATAACTTTTTTTTTCTTGCCTTCTTTCGTTGTTATTCATCCCTCTGAGGTTCTGGCTTTAGGATTCCTTGTAGTATTTTTTGGAGTGGGGCTTTAGTGGTAATGAAATTCCATAGTTTCTGTTTGTCTGGGAAGGTCCTTATTCTTTCTTCATAGAGGAAGGAGAGCTTTGCGGGATAGAGTATTCTTGGTTGACATCTGTTTCCTTGGAGTCTGTTGACTATGTCCCTCCACTCTCTCCTTGCCCGTAGTGTTTCTTCAGAGAAGTCTGATGTCAGCCTGATTGATTTTCCTTTGAATGTTATCTGTTTCTTCCCTCTTGTCAGCTTCATTATTTTTTCCTTGTCCTGGATTCTTGGGAGCTTTACTATTATGTGTCTTGCTGTATTTTTCCTTTCGTGGTGGAAGTTTGGTGTTCTTCTTGCTTCTTGTATATCAATTTTCAGCTCCTTCTTCACATTTGGGAAGTTTTCTTCAATTATCT